TGGTTTAGAAAGGTTGACTATGGCTACAACCAGTCAATTCTAAACTGGTGTTTACATTGATGTAATACCAAAAAAGGTAACAGTGAATATTATAATTTTAAAGTGATACAAACTGTTCCTACATTTGAATGAATCATACAATTTGACATTCCTTAATCCTCGGCAATCAATACCAAATGCTTTATACACATCATCAAATATTTTACTATCTCTACTAAATTCAATAATTATATATGTAGGTGAATATTGCAGAAAAAATATAATTTTCTTTTTGAAATTGATGTCAACCACCTAACTACTGAAATTAACATGATAATTATGCAAAATGCACAGGATTGAAGTACCGTATTAAGGGAGGTGGCATTGTGGAAAAGATGGCGATTTGCCTGTATGGCTACTGATGAGAAAATAGCTTTGGTTTTTTTCGGCAAGAGGATTGCCAGGAAATACAAAAGACGACGATGAACATGGTAGAATGTGGAGTAGAGGAAAATATGCATGGAGGACATTTAGTGATACCATAGCACTCCTTTAAGGTTTGATTTTAACAGTAGCAGTCAGTGTTTACTTTAAATGATAAGGTTTTAAGACACCAAGATAAATGTACTGTATCATACAGCATTTAGGTCTTTCTTACTAGCAGTGACCAATGCACCAAATAAACATTAATTTATCTCATGGACTAAATAAAACTTTATAAGTTCATGAATTATATCAAATTCATATATAATAGGGATTAGAAATTTATAGGGAATGCAATAATTGGGGGTTATTTTATATTGTATGAAACAGAAAATCTTCATTACCATGCATTATTTATTCCTATGGTTTTTGTCTATAATTCTTTTAATATTTTTGAAGCACAATAATTTATTTATTTAATTTTATTCACTCAGCATGATAGTAAAAACTATACACTAGGCCTCAAGATTAAATTCTATATAATACTATAATATTACACTGCTGTTCGAAGTAGTAATCTTAATAATCCCTGAACATGTTCAACTGGACAAGAACAAGATAAAAGCAAACCTATACGTTTACTGTCTTCAGCATCAATCATTATACATGAATACATTGCTGGACATTGTATTGTTGAAATCATGTACATTATGACCTTTGACATACCATGTGAAGGCTACGTGAGGTAATATGATTTCCAAAATGAACAAATAGCCAATTTTGAAGGAGATTTGATTGAATAAATTAGCATGTGAATTTGATACATTAGCACTTTACTGCAGACAATATGTTTGTAGTCATAGTAAATTATGTGAATGAACTTAAGTTAACAGACTGGCACTAAAATAAGTTGAGAAAAACCTAAAAAAATAAAAATAGAACTTCAATTTTTCATTTCAAAGAAATCACACAACTTTTGATATTGAAAAGTCCATTTATAAAAATATATATTTTTTTCAATATGAACATATTTGCTGCCAGAAATGGACTTACAGTAAGAAAAGAATCTATCGTTGTTTTTTCTGGTTTCTAGATGCCTCGAAATCGCATCTGTCATGTAAACCATGGCCAATTTTCTTATGACAAAGATAACTGCATCAGTATTGAAAATTTAAATCAAACAACAATGGTTGAAAATGAAGACACTAAATTTGCACACTTTACATCAGCACCTCTGCTAAAGCACTCCCACTTAAAAACCAATATTTTATTATTGTTTACTGCAAGTCAGCAGTGCTTATTCCTACTTTTGCCATGTGATGTCTCGGCATTTTCTTCTATGGAATATTTACGATGGGAAATCACATTGCCCGATTAATCAGCCTACTTAATGTCGGCAAATGAGAAACGCATCAAATTCACATACAATCCTTAGTGAGGCATACTAAAGCTGGTCATGACCCCACGTTTGGGAACCATAGATAGCACCTGTCACACCAAAGAAACATTGAATCTAACAATAATATTTATATAATGGTTGCTTAAGTCAGTGACATAAAAATTGCCATTACTGTACAGTGTATACCTAGAAACAATGACTAAAATCCCTCTCAGAGGATATGTTCCAGCAATATCACTATGAATTGTGGTATAGTATTTTCATATACTGTACTGGCAGTTAATATAAGATGTGAATGTGCTGTAAAATAATCTTATGATAATTTGATGAGCACATTTTGATAACATATCTGGTTTAAAATGTTCAACATAAAGTAAAACAAAATTATGAAAAAACCAAGACAAAATATGGATTAAAATACACTCCAGAATTTAGTACACAACAGCCGGCATCATTTTTAAATGGTTAAAAATTATTAAATATAAATTTAAAATTAATTAATTATTTAAAATTAATTGCTTTAATGGCAATCCTACATTGAAATGAATAGTAGTCCCACTATATGAAATTAAGTACTGCTTTATAGCCAATCAGAACAAAAGAATGGATGTTTACTTAGAATGATTGCAGGCTAACCGAAAATTTGGACTACCACTATTACACATTGCATAACCTGAAGTGAAGAGGTGAATCTAAAGGGTCAGCCATTCCGGCCACTCACTTAATACATACCGTGCACGGAAGAAAACACAATTCTGCTATTTATTAGTTAATGGACTAATGTGCTCACAGAGGCATGCTCTTCATTGCAACTACACATAACAACACCTGCTTACTATAAAACATGTCTTATCTTTTGTATACAGATTAATTAATAATTCCAAGATTATACTTAAAACTAATATTTCTAGGTATGAAAGTTCATTTTGGCATTCAACGGCTATTGCTCTAACATGTTACACACCATCAACACAAATATTAAGCATTTTGTATTTTGACAGTTATAACTGGAGTTGTGAAAAGAAAACAACGGCCATATTCGACTGGTCGTTCTCCCTCAAACCATGCCAGGCGGCGCAGTGGTAAAATCCTACATATGAAGACTGCCAGACTATAGAAAACTAGTAAATTGATACACGCTAGCGTAATCAAGGTTGCTTTGGCTTGTTAGGTTGGGGCTTATTTACAACAAATATTTTCATGCAGTTTTTGAATTTGGTTAGCCTACAATTATTTTTATGAGCGAATCTTATAATTATTATTTTCTGAAATTTAATCTACATTAATTCAAATAAATAACTTAAATTACAATAACGCAAATCATATGTTTTTGCTAAACTGACTTTTGGTCATGTGGAAAACTTAACTTAATTAATGCACTCTGGCTTACAGTATCTTAATTTCCGTTTTCAACTAAGTCTATTTTTTTAACCAGCCAAATGAAAATAACACATGAAAAATCATTTTCAACAAAACGAACCAGTTGAATACAACCATTGATATATCTCAGACAAAAACACCATGTTGCAATTTACGAATGAGGACACATGGAATTAAAGGAAACAAATAGGTAGAGGATGAATTAAGTTGTTAATTATTATGGGGTAAAAAATTTAAACAAAATAAAAGAAAATGGAGTAGTAGTACTAGAATAAATTTAGACACATGTATTAAGTGTGCTATTAACAATGTTCAGAAGATATTCAAGTCTTGGATTAAATACAGAATATTACATTATACTGTATACATGAACTACACACATCATTAAGTTTACAGTACTTGAATTTTAACCATGTTCACAAAATATTGGCCTTGGATCAAGTGCATATTGCGTTCGCTAATGGAGTTCATGCTGACAATAATATCAATAGATAATTTAACTACAGATGGGGTTAAAATTTTATCATATGATAATTTCCAAATTATCTCTACTTGCTAGTTTCTGTTTTGAAATTAACAGTTAGAGTCTACAGTTTTAAAACCATTTAGCACATGTCTCGATAAAAGCAAGCTTACAGTATACCACCAGAGCCATTGCCTAAGTCTCGTCTAACAAAAGAACTGAGGAATCTTCCACTGATTAGTAGGCTTATGTTACATTGAAATCAATAAGTAGGTTGGATAGTGCTTTTGTTCTGGCCAAAGTAACGGTACTATAGCCTAGTTTTTACTACCAGAATGTCAAACATCTATTAGCAAAGGCTAATAAATTTGCAACTGTCTCTCTAATTATAAAAATAATAAACCTTTTGCACAGTACATTGTGCAAGCCTCTTGGGTTGATTAACATGGCTTATGAGATATATTTTCTCTGAAATACAATATTTTCTTAAATTTTTGGATCAAAAGCTTTTGTGAAAGTAATTGTAGAGTAAGAATACGCCGTCACTGCAAAGAATGTATCCAAAATTGAGGTTCAGTCACTAACCTGATTGTTATAATTAAATGATATATTGAAAACATTGAGTTTGGCAAAATAAATGTACTTTAAATAAGCGATTTAAACGACTAATTTCGCCAAACTCTTTGATAAACCCCCATTCTAAAACACGTAAAAATTTCACAATTACTTTACTACTTTTGAATATTGGCGAAAGTGCAAATAAACGACAGAGTATGAGTAATGTTTTTTTCATTAACATTTTCTAATTTTTTCAACCTTTACAGAAAACCACTCTGTAAAATTGAAATTTCAATTCAAAATAATCTCCATTATTGTTTAATGAGTGTGTAACATGCAGGGGTGGCGCCTATTGGGGTGGCCAGGTCCCCCATCAGAGGGAGGGGGGCCAGCCAACCATTGTTTAGAATTTCTGTTTTTTTGTAAAAAAAAAAATGTATGTATTTTCTATATATTAGTAAACTCCAAAATTGATAAGCCTTTTAAACCCCTAAATTGTCATATTTCTCGGGGACTTCGCCCTCTGGAACACTTTCAAGAGATTTTGAGTGACGCCTGACCACGCCCACTTTTTTTTACATCGGCAGCTGTCAGGGACGTCGGACAAATCCTGGCGCCACCTCTGGTGACATGAGCAACATTGTTTAGAATTTCTATTTTTTTGTAAATTGTAAAGATAATATATACAATTTATAACCTGTTTGGCTGAGTAAAGGGTTATCACAGTAATATACAAGTATTGTAGTAGGTAATCTTGTCTTTTTTAGGAGGAAACAGACATTCACCCACATAGAATGTTTACATGATTTCTGACACAGATTCAAGTAACTGTTATGAGTAACCAATAGATTTGTCTGAACCTAAAGGGCTGTTAATGTAAACTAGAGATCCAATATTTACCCCTTTCCTCTTCCCTCTGAAAGTGTATCAATGTTGATACTGCAGCAATATTGTACAGGTTTTTTTTGCATGTGACGATATTAGGCAAGAAATTTTATATTTTTTCTGTTTGTTTCTTTCCATACAAAATTAATTTGCTCCTGTATAGAGTAATCTAGGTATAAAAAAATTTATAAAATATAAATCAAATGCCACATACCATTTCTTTTGTAAAACGTAGCTTCAACTTGTTTTTCCTCTCCATTCTCAAGCGCAAATCTTATCTCTTCTATCGCTTTTTCACTCGTATTTTCTCCGTACAGAAAGTCACAGGAACAAGGCTTTTGCATAAGTTCCGCTCGAGAATATCCACACAATTCGCAAAATCCATCGTTACAGAAGATAATAGCGCAGCCCTGCACTTTGGCATTTGCGATAATGAAGTTCCGATCTAGAAGATAAATATGGTTCAACTTGTGTCTACATTGAAAACAAATGTTATAACAATTAGAATTTTTTTTGCACAATTACAGTACGTTCAATATGTTCTGCTCAGAACATTTTAATCTTTCACAAATAATATTATTATAAAATATGTTTAACTTTAGTATCAAAGATTCAGTAAAAATCAATTATAATTCTGTTTCTGATGTTTTTGCTCATTATTTGGACAATATTAATAATGTATTTTTTAATATTTAAAAGTACTGTATCTCGGCCAAAAAAAAATAAATAAATGTATTACAACAAAATGAAGTTTAAGACATGGGGGGGGGGTCTATCTACAGTACGGCCTATCTATACTCTAGCAGAAAATGTGGTGTTGGACAGGTTTAAAAATAGAGAAAAAATATGTTTCATGAAATTTACTATTTTTTAGTGTTTTATGTGCAATCTTAAACACAGCAAGTGGAGGGTTCATGAATAGTCCACATACATTTGACGAATTACTACTATCAGTACAGCAAAAACTCCCTAATGCTTTAGTCTTACGTGAAATCGTATATTCCTATTTCTTATCTAAAAATAAATACACTGTATTTAATTTGTCGTGTGTAAAACGCGAATAAGAGCCCACTGCTGACGTAAGCTATCTAAAATGTTAAAGCTTTAAAATTTATTGCGAACATATATTCTCTCATCTTTACAACCTCATGAAAACGCTTGGCATTAAGGACTAATTGTCTGTGTCCACACAGCTGATGTCTTAAAGTTAATAATGAAAAAACATTAATCCTGAATCACCATGTAGCTAAAAAATTCAATTGCTTAGTAAACATATTGCAAATCTTATTTTGTAATTTATTTTAAGTATATAATCTATGGTACTTAGTTTTTTCAACTGTGATACTATAGTCATAAATTTAAAAATATTGATTATGGTAAAGTCATTTCAAGACTTTAAAACAATTAGTAAACAAAGTCTCAATGATTCACTTTGAGCCTTACTGGTAATTCATAAATATTTTTACTACTGGATAAATAAAATCTAACAAATTCCAAGACTTCTCATATATTACATTTTATTTTAAAGAAATAATTAAGCATTAGTTTCACATAAGCATTGCACTTTATATATTATATTTAAACAAATTTATTAAATATTTTGTGTAAGCTTTGATGTTTCAATTACATTACTGCACATGGCTCCAGTAAATTTTGTTCTCATCTACTGATAGTTAATACAAAGCCACAAAAAAGTTGGCATCAGGATGCACGGATACAAAAGTTTCACCCCTGCATCGTATGAATACAAAATTCTCACTCATGTTAATGTGAAGCATTTTTTCAAGATCAAGGAGGGTATACTCTTAAAATTTCCTGGATTTTAAATCATTTGCTATACAATTTTTTTTATTATTTATTTATAATTTTTATATTAATCTAATGGTACAGTATTGGTATAGGCCCTAGGGACCTATTTACCCTGGGAATTTACCAGTTACATGGTTTAGGCCTGCTGCATTTAAACAATAACATCATTGATGAAGAGACCTAAAAATATTTACAGCCTAGAAATGTATATGGCACAATAGAATAATTTAAAATTATTTTGAAAAAGGCGCAAAATTATGACAGAATTTGACCTAGGCCTAGGCCTATATGCTAGGCCTACATTCTTTCTTGATGCTTGATTAGGTCTAGCCTAGTTCTTACAATGTGTCATGAAAAAAAACATGTTGCTATTAATTATTAATTTGATGCTTATTAATGTTGCTGCGAGATAATCTGCTACTATCCACTGTACTACAGTATAATGATGATGTGAAGCAATTCTAAATGTTAATTGAAGGTAGCCTATTAAACGAAAATGTAATACTGTTCTTAAAATAAACAATTATTAAGTCTGGTCTGGTCACGCTCCGCCTAAAGAAGTCCGCTTGTCAGGCAGAGAGAAGCTTAGCCAGAAATCGATTGTCTTTAAGTGTTCTGTTACACGGAGCAAAATGATCATCTGTTGAATATGGCTTATTTTTACGTTGTTATAAATACTCACTCTGACCATCAAATTTCCGGATAATAGTCTCAATAAAGGTGTTTTGAGGAGCAACATGCCCCCTACGAACCGGCATTTCTAGTAATTTCCCGAACGATAGGTAGATGGCAACATCCTTTCCAAGTGATGATGACACAGTCAATCTTCTCGTTGAAAAACCGCTGTTTTGCTACCGCGGCTTGCTCTTCGACATCTGATGTTGTTACAAACTAAATCAGTAACTTCTGCGACCAACCAATTTAATCTACCGCCCTCAATGTACAGCCTTTTCCAATTTATAATTCATAATCCAACTAGCTATTTTGTATATATTTTCAATTACTAAACACTTTGAATTTTAACATTAAAGAATAATGTCTGGACTACAGCCAGTAGATAGTTTTAACCCATTCACTTTTATTTCAGACATTGTCCATATAAAGTGGAAGTGGAAACGGAGATTAAACGCTGTCTGTGAACAATACAGGCCACCGATTATGTAACCTCGAATCGAATGCCGAGAGGCCTAGTTTTACGTTGGTTTTCTTTTTCGATCACTTATTATTCCAAAACAAGGGGTATATTTTAAATTTGCACTTATTAGCTAACACAATTTCACAGCGTGATATAACTATACAGTATATCTGGGTATTTTTTATATTCTAAATAGGCCTATTTGTTCATTGCAACTATTCATTAATTCTTTCTTTCATAAATATAATTAATAGTGATAACTAGGTTGATGAAGTAGGGCCGATGTACAAATTATCATTGTAGTTTAGTAAGACTGATGAGATGGGTGGTGTTTAGTAGTCAAAGGGTAATGAATGACACGGATGTATACGCTGGAAGAGCAATCCTACGACTACCTGAATCATTATATAATGCGGCTGAAATCATTTACAGCTATGGGATGATAATATGATCATATCTTAATACCTGTAATAATATAATAATCTCTTCCTAAATTTAAGAGCCATGTATGCTCCGAGAACGCTAAGCGCAAATAGTCTGCAATGCGCTCATTTATTGACAATGTTATGTTATAATGAGTTTTTATATTATATTACAAATCATTCATTTAGTTAATGAGCTGATACTGTGCCCGGTATGTCCTATGTTTTTTTTAAATGTAGAGATACATACATATATATATATATATATATATACTGTATATTAAACATAAATGATGAATCTTGAAAGTGTAAAAAAGTTTCTCCAACGAGATCCGAACGGGGAATCGTAGTAGCACCACCCACCTCCCCCGGGCCAGGGAAAAAATGTGTTGATTATTCTTTATTTAAAAAGGATAATTTGATAGCAAACCATGCAAGTTAAATAATTGACTTTAAGCCTAAATTAGGAGGAATTGGTCTACACACCCAGGGAGTACGGTAGCTTTATGCACATATACTGCCTACAGATTCAGGTAGCGGCAGATGCAAAGGCTGAAAATTGGCCTACATAAGGCCAGTGGCGGGAGTAAATCTTTTCTCGTGATGAGATTCCGAAACTGAGGACACACATTTCTAATTATGTGCGTCAATATGACGCACGGTGAATGCTTATGCCCAGAATCATTAGTTGTATCATGGAGGTATTAAACAATAATACCTCCGATGGTTGCATAATAGTGCGCATCAGCTAATGTTGTTTACATTACATGTTCTTATATATCTGCTTATTGATACATCCTGCCTTGGGTACAAAGGCTTGATGACACATCGTGTTATGATTTAGGCAATGACAACATTGTTTTTAAAAGCACCTTTATGATGGTGTTTGGAATGTAATGGATGGAAATATAAGAAATGCCTATTTAATATAGACAATCCCTGATAAAACAGTTTCTTCAATAACAATATGAATACTAAGGACTTCAAAGGCATCGCGCAAACGTTCTTTACGCGCTGCGGCAACTTTGATCTTGGTTCATTTGCATAGCGCTGCGTGCGCGTAGCTTTGCCGAGTGATCTCCTTCTCAATAATACCTCCATGCTTTTTCGCGCGCCAGTGACGTCATGGTAAAATCGTATATAATCGCCTATAACTTCATAAAAAATAGCCAAAATATAAAGCTCGATTCTATTATTAATGGCATATCAAAAATCCACTCTAGAACAAAAAATCATTTTGCTAGTTCTCTTTTAAGATTAAAAAAAGAACAGCAATTGTCAATTGTCATACAAAGAATTAATATAGGGCTTCGTAAAAGAAAATATTAGGCTCCTGGTAAAAATAAACAAGAGAATATGGAATGTACAGTATTAACAAATAAATTATAGAACGACCACCATCATTTATATCACGCATTCAAGCAAGGGGGTGTTGTGTTACATAAGTTCTCACATTCAGTTAATAAACTTGTTCATAATTAATCGTCTAAGTGGGTTATTATTGCCCTACCTATTATCAATTTAAAGAGGTGGTGGACTTGAAAAATGAGCTAAGAAAATTCGTTTTTATATGAGTTTGATGAACGATGATAAAGGGGCATGCGGGCATGCGTCACTAATTAGTGAAATTGTACCTAATTTGATCGATATAGTACGTACTCGAGCGATCTCTAATTAAAAATGCATTATATTTTTTGCGCATGATCAATACGATGAACGACGCCATTGATGACATTATGAATTTACATACAACAGGAGTAAACTTTTTAGTGTATTTTTAGTAAAATGGAACCCACCCACACACATATCGATTTGCAGCAGTATAGATTATTTAGTTAGGCGGTCTTGTGAAGCATAAAGTACTTCAAAGCATGGAGGTATAAAATAGAGTTCAAAGTGACTAGATTGATTCAGACCCGAGTCGAATTACCGCATGGAGCAACCAATTGGCCCCGCCTCACATTAACAAGGCCTACTTTTCCTACAAATGTCAATTATTTTAATGTGAACAAATATAATTATATACGGTACAACACATATGCAATATTAAGCTGTATATGCCTATGCTTTAAATCAAATTTAATTCATTATTATGCCTTTTTATAACCGACGTGGAATTTTACAAAGGTATTTGTTGATTACGTAAGTTGGTGTTTACACACTGGTTAGTGAATTTTTTTTTTAAAACGAGATTGAACAAAAATGATACAAATCTAAATATGGAGTCCTATTTTATAGATGTATTTTTTGGGCCATCAACCACATAATTATAGCAAAAAGATTATGATACATTTAATTTCAGTTTCGATCTTGAGTTCCAAATATGTCTGCATTAGTCATTATGGTGCATGTTCGTCGATACTTGAAAATGAAGACGACAGGTCAAGAGTCAAAATTAGAGACCCAAGAGACGAATCGATTGTACGGGGTGTGCCATCCTTCACCTGCGCTTCCGACTGATACGAAGATAAGTCCGGAGACTCATCAACTGATGGTGATTTCTCCAAAGATGGGAATGTCTGGAAATCATTCTTCATGATTTCATATTTGACGTCTGCGTCCTTTGTGGCATCGTCACCTTGAAAGGGAGGCGATTTGTAATCATTGTTGTTAACGGTTTGTTCATCTGCGACAGCATTCTCTTGCTCCAACAACGCCGCTGCTATTGCTCTTTCTTTTGCAGTCACTGGTCCAAAAAATACCTCCAGTTCTTCATCACTGCTACTGGTACACTCGTCACTGGATTGGGAATATTTGGGGCTGGTTCTAGAATAAGAAAAAAAAAGTAACAGTTGCTTTGGGACCAAAATCAGTAGGCATTTTGAATTCTCGGAAGCCATAATATTCCTTGGTAGTCCCACCAGACACATGTCGTCACCATCCCCAATCCATTACGAGTCACAGGTCTCGGGTAATTCCCACGTCAACCTGCACAACATTTTAGGTAGCGTAAACGAACCGATTTCACAGACATTTGGACCTTCAACCAAAATTCGACCTCTCCTTCTGAAAGATATCTAGTGATTTCGACCCAGCCTAAAATACACAATCTTTGCCTATTGCATGTAGGCATACAGCTGTTCGAAACAATTTTTTAATGACAGTATTTAGTTTTGAACGATAAAAACGGTTTTAGCTTAAGTATTCGAACGAAAAAGAAATAGGCCTACTTTACTAATTTTTTTTTTTGTGTTTAAGAGTAATAAGGAGTAGGCGCTATAGCATAATTATAAAGTAGGCCCACGCCTCTGTGCATGTCCGGCTTGAATCAAGCTATGCAAATTTCCAGGTTACGAAATGTCCGATGCAGCGTTTTGGAAACTTTTGATTTTGTCGGGTAAGAAAATGTCGACAATCCGTTTGGTTGGCCAACAATGTTGATGTTTTTTACCAGATTTAATAATAATGTATTGTAGGCCTATAGTCTGTTTTACCTTTGATCAGTAGTGCAGTCTGTAGCCATGGTAATGGTGCAACTTTGGCAGCATCAAAATGTAGATCATTATTTCAATCACTGTGCAAGGCATCGGAGACTAGCTGATTGCAAAACAATAGATATCGTATAGTTTTCCACCTGGGCTATAGATATTATTCAAATGAACCGCGTTATTGTGTCGACGACAGAGGTCGCTCACCCAAGAGTGAGAGTGTGAAAGTATTCTGGAATGGAAAATCGCATCTTTTATCCCCAGCCGTCCAGTCGTTTCTTCTCACTAGTGACCAATCACATCAGGGGTTGGACACTCTAAATAGTCATCTTCTCTTTAATTAAAAATAAATTTTAAGTAATTATCGGTATATATCGACTACAATCGCCTAAGTAAGCGCATATTAGAATTTTGTACGGCAATTCAAGAATTGTTAATCCTATTTGAAGAAAAGCATTATGTTAAGTCATCAATTAAATTGTTGCCAAATTTTACTACTTTGACCGGTCTTTATTTTGTTCATTTCCTAATCTTACAGTTTTCATCTTTCCAGTGAAGATAGACTCTGTAAATGTTCTGAAGAACCAGTGCTTCTGAAGAACCAGTGCAAAGAAACAAGCCGCCTTTGATTGACTATGATTTTTTTTTTACATTCTTAATCACCACGAAAATCTGGTCCGTCAAGGAGTAAGTTTACACAGACTCGAGTTTATTCAATCAGATTATATGTACCAATATATAGGCGTGATTTGCCGAAACATTTCCTCGTTTTACCTGAGTAAAGCCTATCGGTATATATTGGCCTATAACCTAGATACTGAAGAAATATAGTTTAACTACCGTAATACGTGGCATTATCTGTGTTGATTGTTCTACCTCATCTACCCAACGGAGTGGATCCGTAAGAACCGATCGAAAAGTTACCACATTGAGCGAAGAAATACCAGAATATTTACAAGCCAGCAAATATAACTTGACAGAGCGCCACAGAGGACGATTGCGAAATGGACCACTCTGCGCATGGCCGTGAACTAGGAACATACTTGATAGGCGATCGTGAATTATTTGAAGTTTAATTGAGCAAGCGTTCATCAGATCATAAAGCGCCATGATCTAACAGATTTAATAGGAAATACAGATTCATTGCAAATATAGTTTGGTGCATTCATAATACGTGATGAAAGATGCCAATTGTGTTTTCTATTCGATTTAAGTATGTTTTTTTTCCACTACAATTTTGGGAAAAAAAATCAAGCTGAACAAATCTAGATAAAAAATGCGATGGGTTAATTTTGTTTCTTTTCGCTGTACCGTATACTTTTGGTTGATCAACTTCACCTCCCAAGAGTGGTGTATAAACGAAGGCCTTTACAAATTGAACGGAACAGGTGAAATTGCGTGTGGGTAGCATGATCTGTCGAATGTCGAAAATCGAAAGATGCATTGTTCGATTGTGACTGGAGCAGAAAACGTGAACTGAAAAAAAAAATCATACAAGACATCATTCCAAAGATGAAGCATGTTAACTGAAAGAATAAAGTAATGATTTAAAAGTGGAAATATAACTTTGCCAGGTTTCAGGTAAGATTGAAATTTCAATGCATATCAATGTTATTTATTGAAATAGTCGCTGCTTACTTATCTAAAAAATGTTGTGTTTCCCCGTTTGAAAAATTCTGTATCCGCCCCTGCTAGTACTTAGGGCCTATCAGGCATAATAATCTAGAATCCAATAGTCTAATAAATAAAATAATATAAAAATAATATAGTTTTGATACGTTTATTATTCGTATAAATGTAAAGTGACGTTTATGCTTAAGGGCGTCAACATTAGACGTTTTGTTTCTCGGTCTCCATGGCGCCTGTTCAATGTTTTCTACTGGTTTTGGTTTCACTCAAAGTTGCTGTATGTCCAGAGATCATACTATTAATACATGTTTGTAATATGACTGCTCCCTGGTCAGTCAACTCAAAAAGCTACTACAATTTGGCACAATTATAGGCCTGCCCACTTTTCTACAGTTTAAACGATGTCTTAAAAACTTTGAGCAAATGCAACTTCTCGGACGTTCGTGTCTCTATTATAGGTAGGCCTATATTATTTTCTTTAAAGACTTCCTTCTTGTATCTTTACCCTTCTGTATTAATATCTTATGTGATCGTGTGTGTTTTGATGTTGACACATGTTCGTTAGGATATCACACGTGATGTGATGTTTTTCATAGTGAGGTTTTTCGCTATTGGATTCCTCCGGGCGAGCAAGGGGCTTGGCTCTATTTATGTTATCTTTTTGTACAGTACTGTATTTTGTTGTATGTTGGAATAAATTAATGGAAAAAATTAAATTAATACTATTTAAGACCTATGTTAGTATTTATGTTGATTTGTTGGCTGAGTTAACGTAATATTGTGTTTCGTATTCCACTATTGAACGGTATTCACGGGTTTGGGGACGGCACACAGACGACACAAAATGCACAAAAGAGACCAAATTACTCTATAGTCGTTCAATGTGTGGGTCGGTCAGGTTATTGTTACGGTGTACTGTACATAGGGGTACTTTCTTGTAATTTTAGCATATTTTAAAAATATTTTGTTGGTCTATTTACTCTTTGTATGTTATATATTTTCGCTTAGATCCAAACAGTAGCGTACCAGGCGGGGGCAGGGAGGCAGAGTGCCCCCCTGACGGTTTTAACCGGGCTGACCAAGCCGTTGTACCGGGCTGGGTAATAAGAGAAAAGAAAGAGGGGAGAGGGAGAGAAAGAAAAAGAAGAGGAAAAGAAAAGGAAAGGAAAAGAAAAAGAGAAGAGAAAAATAAAGACAAGAATAAAAAGGAAGATATCATAGTGACCAGACTCACAACACCCTGCAACCCCTTCTCCACTTCAAAAAGTGTCCATAGCTCCTTTCATGTAAGCCACCAGATATTCTCCGCAGTGACGTAACTACCGGGGGACAAGGGGAAAATATCTATCTGTGGAAAATCTTTCCCCACCCCTTGAAGATGCCCTTTTCACCCCCTGAAAGAGCCTAAAAATCTCAAATATCGCACGCTTCGCCCGCATTTCTTGTTGAAGTAGGCCAATTTCCTCCAAAAATTGCACATTGTAGGGAGTTTTGATCAATTCCGACAAAATTAGAATTAAAAACAATTTTTTTCTGCCCATTTTTTAGGGTTAGCCTTCTAAGTTATTTAAACACATAATAGTCCCAAACTCAAGAAAGAAAATTTAAGATAGATCGTTTTAACTAAAAGAAGGGCCTCAATGTGTAATGATGGTGAAAGAATAATATTAAACATATTATGTTTGTATAAATAAAGCCATAATGAAAATGCTTATATTCAGTTTCAAAAGAACGTGTGTGGTTAATCTTAAGCCCTAAACTCAATAAAAAAAATTAAAAAATGCGCGCTTCGCATTTTTAAGCGTGAGAACTTGTGCTTGTCCTGCTTTGCCTTCTAAGTTACTTGAACACACACGGTAACAGTCCCAACTCAAATAGAAAGAACATTTAAGATAGATCGTTTTACCTAAAAGAAGGGCATTGATGGTGAAAGAATATGTTTGTAATAAATAAAACATGATGACAATGCTTATATTTAGTTTCAAACTCACGTGTGTGGCCTATATTATAAATAAGATAAGCCCTAGGTCGTATTGTTTTCTATATGGGGTGGGAGGATAAGATAAGCCCTAGGTCGTATTGTTTTCTATATGGGGTGGGAGGCTTGTCCCCCGACCCAAGACCCCTGTTACGCGCCTGGATCCAAATAAGTATTAGTTATTAATGTTAATCAATCGTGTTACTTTATATCATAATCATTTTGATTTAGTTTCTTAAAGATTGTATATATGTGTACCGTATACACACCGCCACACTGGTCTTAAAGTGAATTCCAACACATAAACCCCAGTCGCGTTACACCTCATAACTACAGGGACGATTTGCACACAGTCAGGACTGATGGCAAATTCGAATATTTATGACACACCTTTTTTGTGAAACCTGATATGACCTCCCTAATGAAACACTGTTTTTATAGGACAATATTATTTGGTATGCAGAGTAATTAAATACCCAAACTCGACTATTCTTAAATGACTCCACCAGTCAGGCGTTCATCGTGATTTGAAAAAAAAAATATTATTAGTAGACCTTTGAGAGACTCAATTCCTATATAATAGCAGACAAATGGATCGGAGTCATGCAGTCTGCGTGGGATGGCTAGGGGCGGTCTTAAACATTATCATTATGTAATTAATAACATAGCGTAAATGTTCATGTACATAGAGCTATCGATTGATCTTGGCGGCAATGTCTACGCCTTAGGTGTGACATGTTGTTTCGGTGTTCTATTGCATTCGGTGTTCTATTAATTAGAATACGTCACGGACACTATGTGTGCTGCAATGATATATAATTATCTGTAATAGGCGTGTTCACAAGCAAGGTATCACGTTGACTTCGATTCCATGATGGATTGTATCATCGAATCCTGATAATAATGTAATTGTACCTATAGAATTATTATTTTTATAAATAGCACTGAGCATATTCAATATTCAGATCCAGTTCCAGGGAGGTTGTCAGACTCTCCCACTAGGGGTTTTTTCAGCATACGAGTTACAAGAGAATGCCGAGTTGCTAACTCGACAAAAACTCGTAGGACGATTCGGAAAGCTCGGGAGAGGACTCTTACCTACTCGTAGCAGCTCTGAACTCGTGGCGCTAATTTTGAAAATGTTCAAAATTATCGCCACGAGTAGATAACTCGTAGTAAACTAGAAGAACTCGTAGGTAGCTCGTAGAGTACTCGGGGTACTCCTACCTAGCTCGTACACTACTCTGGATACTCGTCGGCGGTTTTATCATCTACGAGTTTGATGCGAGCACCCAAAAACGAGTACGAGTAAGTACGAGCGCGCCGAGTTGGCTCGTACCTAACTCGTGTCTAATTCGGTACAAACTTGTTACACTCTTACCCTCTCCCACCTAGGTTCATTTCACCTAAGAGTCGTACGATTTCTACGAGTTAAAACTCGTGATCTTTGGAAAGGGCCTATACGAGCTTATTACGTGTTAGCTAAGAGTGAGGTACGACTTTATGGAGTTGGTTACGAGTTATTTACGAATTATGCCGAGCAGAGCACCGAGTTAACTACGAAATTATTAAGAGCGTAACAAGTTTGTACCGAATTAGATACGATTCAACTCGGTGCGCTCGTACCTACTCGTACTCGTTTTGGGGTGCTCGCATCAAACTCGTAGATGACAAAACCGCCGACTAGTATCCAGAGTAGTGTACGAGCTAGGTAGGAGTACCCCGAGTACTCTACGAGCTACCTACGAGTTCTTCGAGTTTACTACGAGTTATCTACTCGTGGCGATAATTTTGAACATGTTCAAAATTAGCGCCACGAGTTCAGAGCTGCTACGATTAGGTAAGAGTCCACTCCGAGCTTTCAGAATCGTCCTACGAGTTTTTGCGAGTTTGCCGAGTTAGCAACTCGGCGTTCTCTTGTAACTCGTATGCTGAAAAAACCCCTAGTTAACTCGGTGCTCTGCTCGGCATAATTCGTACATAACTCGTAATCAACTCCATAAAATCGTACCTCACTCGTAGCTAACACGTAATAAGCTCGTATAGGTCCTTTCCAAAGATCACGAGTTTTAACTCGTAGAAATCGTACGACTCTTAGGTGAAATAAACCTAGGTGGGAGAGGGGCAGAGCTTTCCGAATCGTCCTACGAGTTTTTGCCGAGTTTGCCGAGTTAGCAACTCGGCATTCTCTTGTAACTCGTATGCTGAAAAAACCCCTAGTGGGAGAGGGGCAGGCCCACGAGTCGATATCTTGACTCCAGTAAGGTTGGAGTAAAGAGGTTCATAAATTTTAGAGAATGAACTTAGATACTGGGGAATTATTAGTGTTTTTACATAGCTTAAAACATAATAACGATCATTTTTCTTCGTAGTAAAGGCATGTTTATACTTCCGCCACTCCTTATGACGATACCGAAAACCTAAAAGAATGAAGTTTACTAAATTGTTGGTCTAATGCTTTATTTAATAGGTCTAGTATAAGATTATTATTAGACCCTATTATTAATACTATTTTCCTTATTATCATAATTACTGTATTTTGTATGTATATGTATCATGCGTGTATGTATGAATGTTATGTATGTATGTATGTATGTATGTATTATTATTATTATCATAATAATAATAATTATTATTATTATTACTATTATTATTATTATTATTATTATCATTATTATTATTATTATTATTATTATTATTATTATTAAGGGTAAATGTAAACTTAACACTATAAAAGAGAAAACTAAAATGTACTCCAATGCTATTTATATTGCCTCTGAAATATGGAAAAAAAATTGGTTGTAGTCTTGAAAAATGTTCTTCATTAACCAATTTTAAAATGAAACTTTAAAAAAAACTACTAAATCTATACTGAGAGCTTTGTTTATGTTCTTCTGCTTTGATATTATGTGTACAGTTGTTAATTGCTGCGCCATAAGAAATTTTATTATTATTATTATTATTATTATTATTATTATTATTATTATTATTATTATTATTATTATTATTATTATTATTATTATTATTATTATCATTATTATTTTTATTATTATTAGGCCTATTATTATTATTATTATTATTATTATTATTATTATTAGGCCACTTATTGTTAATAGGATTTTTGGTCTCATTACAATTATTATTTTTTCATAATACTCAAATCTTTCTGTCTCTGTTGTCAACTCGACAGAGAACTTGGTTGCCACTCTCCCGTCCCTGTTGAATTTTAACTTTAATCGCTTGTCTGTTGTTTCTTTTTTTCAGATTAGCTCTTTTCCCCTTATGATTTATTCACTTTAATAATTTTGACGGGTCTCCTATTTCCAAGATTCCTGGAGTTTCTTGGAGGTCCATTTCATAATCTTATCATTATACAGTATTATCCTTGCATTTTTTATTTGTTTTATGGAATTTATTGATGTATTGGTGAATACAGAGTTTGATTGATATTATTCAAAACTATTTTTACAAGGCACATTGGCATTGTAAGCTTATAGACTCATTAATTAATTAATTAATTAATTAATTTTGCTAACTATCAGAATACAACTAAGACACGACGAATAAGAAACAATGGGACCTGTCTGCATGTTATGTACTGGTATACGGTTAAAACGTTCATTTTTTTTTGTTCACCGAATGATATTCTCAACAGGAAAAGCTGTTTGCTCACGTTCTTGTCTCAGTGGGCTCCTACCCAGTAGTAAGGAACATAGGTTCATACTATAATAAATAAACATATGATACTATATATACTATACTATTACATCCCGTGATGTTTTCGGATCGACACTGTCATTTACTGCTGTTATGGCTAATGAAATAAAAATAAAGAATGCCTGACTATTTCCGATACAGTAGAGGCCTACTTGATAGGGCATGCTACTGTCTTTGTCACTCTGAAGTGATGAGAATATAACAGGCTTAACTTCATTGGCCTCGTAAAGAAATTATAAGGATGCATTATTATACTTACCGTATATTTATTCAAATAAACGCCCCGGGGCGTTTATTGTTGAAATGGGTTTTTGAAGGGGTGTTTATTCGAGGGAGGCGTTTTTGTGGGGGGGGGGGGTGTAAAATGGATACGTATATACAGTACTTAAATAAACGCCCCTTATTTCACTGTAAATGTGGAACGACAACGTATAATAACCGTCAAAATGTGTTAGCCTATGCATGACCATAAATAAAAACGTATTAATTCCAACCGGGTTAGAAAAAGTCTAATTCTACTGCAGTAGAACATTATTAGAATAATGTTGCTTCTTTTAAATTTGTTGTCACTTAGGGGAGGGGGGAATTTATTCGAGGAAAAATAAACGCCTTGGGGCTTTTATTCGAGGGAGGCGTTTATTCCAAATGAGGCTCTAGATGGGCCGCTTATTCAAGGGGGAGGCGTTTATTCAAAGTGGGGCGTTTATTAGAATAAATACGGTATTTAATTATTATCATTATTATCATTTATCTTTATTTTTTATGTTATTATTATTATTATAATCATCACCATCAGTATTATTATTAGCCTATTATTTTTACTATTACATTGTTATTGATATTGCTATGCCTAATGTTATTGATATTGACGTTGCTGTTCATTCCTGCTACTATTGTTGTATAGACCTATTTGCTGTTTTTTTTTTATGTATACAATCCCACCATTACTAGTGTATCACCAGTAATGATAATATTATGATTTATAATATACTTAGGCTTGTAGCGAAGATATCTATTCAGATAAATAAAAAATCGAAATTAACAAATGAACAAACAAACGGACAAATGAAGAATCGAATAAAAAACAAAGAAAATGAAAGGAATGAATGAACGAACGAACGAACAAATGATCGACCGAGTGAACGACAAACGTACGGAAAAACAGGCCGAGATAGATGGACGGACGAACGGATGACGAAGAAATTAACGAATGAATTAATGAATGAATAAAGTACGGTATATAATAACATTTCTTTTTATTTTCAGGTTGATCTCAGTTAAGCATCATGCACACTTCAGATAATTTTACGCAGGGTTTGCAAGAGGACTCGAACTGGAATGTTTTCAAAACCGTACAGCTCATACAGGGAATTCTTGGAATTATAGAAAATATTGTCATAATCATAGCTTTCATAAGAGTAAAGAAAATTCGAACCATCACAAATATATTCATCCTAAATCTGTCAGTGACCGATTTTGTAACTGCTGTGGCGACAATTCCAATGCCGGCACCACATCCTGTGCCAGACACGTTAGCTGGTGAGTTATACTGTCGCATCATTGGCTCGAACTTCTTCCTCTGGACGGCTATAAAAGCGTCGGTACTAACCATGGTCGCAGTGACGGTTGAACGCTACGCGTCAATCGTCGCACCTTTGCGTCATCGAGGATTCAGTATGCGACGGGCTGTTGTAATAATAACATTAGCGTGGGTTGTCTCAATCATAGTTAACTCGTTTTCACTTTCAGTCACACGTAACGTTGGCGGGACCTGTAAAGACGTATGGCCAGGAGAAATTTTCCAGAAGTTCATTGGATTAATAATTTTTCTTCTGACATATCTTTTACCCTTGATTATAATGATCGTTGCATACGCAACGATGTTTTACGTGCTGCGCAAACAAGATCGCAGATTCAGACGAGACGGTGTTTTAGGTCAAATAAATGAATACTCATATTGTAAAGCTAAACGTAACGTTGCCGAATCGTTATTTTTGATTGTACTTGCCTTTACGATATGCTGGGCCCCTGATCAAATTTCATTCTTAGCTCAAAATATGGCAAATTTCGATTACGTGAACAGCTCCGTTTATCCTTATTTTGTGTTATTAGCTTTCTGTCACCCAATCACCGATCCGATGATTTACGTATATAAAAATCGTCAGTTCAGGAATGCTATAAAGTCAGCTTTCAAAAAGAAATATAAAATCACAGTGCGTTCAGACGTAGAGCAGTTTATGCCAAAACATAACGTGCCACTTAATAGTCGATGATAGGCCTACATCAGAAAGCCATGGAACGGAATACAATATAGGCCTAACTCATAACAAGGGAGCAGGGTGCTCCCTGATAAATATACAAAAGACGTTGAACGAGACTTGCGATTGTGATCATCAGCTCCACAAGAACATTCAAATAGGCTTATTACCTGTTTCTAATGTTTTGAGCTCGTATTTTATGACAATTTTTATTGGACCACGTTCAAGGCACCATTTTATTGTCAATTTTTAGTAAGGCTTATTTATTATATGCCTACTAACAGCAGCTATCTAACGGGCAGCGTGTGAATAGAGTCGAGTTCCTTTAGCTAAAATGACTGTTCGTGAATAAAATCATTAATTTAGCTTTGACAATGAGCAGTCAACAAAGAACTCTGGAGATAGAGGTTGACTGCAAGTGAAAACGTGGAACGTGTGAAATTATAATTAAGTGGCTGGCTGGTAATAACTAAGGCTTACTTCTTAACCGAATTAGTCAAGGGATTGAGAGGATGATCAGATACGCCAGTGATCATAGCTAAAAATATCGTAACAAAAACATCGTATTGAATCCTTGCGTATGCAGGTTTCCATTTCATGAAGGCATATGCGTGACAAATTAATAATGACCATTAAGAAATAATTTAATTTAGGGCGCCGATGGTTATTATTTGACAGCATCATCCTATGCAAAGTAACTTCCCGTAGTATAGCATTTAGTTTGTCAATAGATTCTGGGTTTATATTACTGCTTTCCTGCAGGATGTGCGTATACGCGTACGACTGCGACCGGAACCGCGTACGTATTACCGGAAGCGCGTATTACAGAAACGCGTATGTTGTTATAAAAATGTTGCAACTTGCAACTTGCAACGAAACGATAAAAAGCTAAAAAGCAAAAGAAAATAAAAGAAATAAGAGAAGTTTTTACACTAGGACGATTCGATAATGATTTATCGTGTATACGATAACAAAATATTTTGAGAAATCAATTCAAATGACGTCATAATCATGGAAAAACAATAAAATCTTTGTTACTACTACTGTCCAATATAAAAAATTATATGTGATATTTGGAAATTAATTTCGGTCAACAGGGATTTTTTTTATTAGTGTGGTACTAGGCCAAATCATTAATCTAGGGTAGCTAACCATCATACCCCATGCATTTTGGCTGGTTAAAATGGTAGCGCTAACCACTGAGCACAAAATGCCATGGTTATGGTATGAACCTTTCAAACAATATACACATAATTATTATTTCGGGCTCCTCATTGGGAAGAAATATATATTTTTTCCAAAAATAAATCCGATTTTAGTTATTTTGGGTCGGTCGGATTTGGGCAACACCCTTTTTGTCCTAATGTTATTATCTTTACTCGTTTGATAGTTTATATAATTTCATGATAAGTATATGTCGTCCTTGTACCTGGATCAAACTCGTTGAAGATATCACGTTATGCTGGATGGATTGAGTTACCTGCAGTTATTAAGTCTTTGGTTAATTATCATCCTATATTCGCGATCGAACACAATGTTCAATCTTACATAATTACCATTGAAATGTCATCAAATTCGTATCTCCTGAAACCATAGGGTTCACCATTAAGTTTTACATAAGCCTAAAATATCCAGGAACGGGGATAAACGAAAAAAGTTTGCTTTATATCAAACCACAATGGCTTGTATCACATATTAAGTCCGTTTCTTAAGTCTTCTTTATTGTATGTTACTAAAAAAAGGATAACATTAACATAAAGAGATATAATCTTTATAAGCCTAACGATGACCAGTGCAGCTCCACGGTCAGTTTTGAACTGAACTTAACTTTATTGGAACACTTTTGTATCAGTGGCACACACCATCTGGTGGTGCATCCAAATAACAAGCAACATTTCGCAAAATACAAAGAAAAGATAAAAAAAAAAACAACAATCAAGTAATTAAAAAACGAATCAAAATGATAGAAAGTAAACATTAATTAGTACGATGGAAGGAATATTCCATGACTAAGAGATGGGCTGCCCAAATCTACAAGGCGGAGCCTTGCCGAATGGAGCAGTGTAAGTTTCAGTGAATTACTCAATTACAATCAGTACCGTTGGTCTTAAATTTGAAACACACCTAAAAAAGGTCCCTGTCATTTGAAAAATTACAACCATAACTACCAAAAGTAATAATAATTTGTTTCTTGCTTTCCTTCTCCTTTCTTTTCCTTTTCTCTTTCTTCTTTTTTTTCTCCCCACATTCTTTTTTCCCCTTCCCCTCTTCACCCCCTTTTTTGAAACAATTCAAATGACAAAGAGAAATTTAGGTGTGTAATAAAATAATAAATAATGATAACAATAAATAATGGCTTAATAACAAACAACTTAATGACTACAAACCTAACTACTACAGTAACAGTGAGGGAAAAAACAGAAAAAAAAACCAACTAAAAACTAATTTACAGTTAATTTGTTTAGGAGGGTAATGTAGATAGCATCAAAGATCTACTAGTCCATGCATTAATTAAATATTCTTTACAATGGAAATCAAAAATTTGTCTTAATGTTACATTTTCTATATACATATCATCAAACATAAGGTGACGTTTACATTGCTGTGATCAATTTTTAAAACTATGCCAATATACACTTAAACCATTTTCATGAAGACTGTCCCTAATAATTATTTGAGTATGTAATATCTCTAATACAATTTAATCTAGTACAGTTAAATAAGAAATGTTCTACAGTTTTGGTTGTCCGTACATAGTTTGCATGTGCCTGTGTTATGATTAGACCATGGAGGTATTATTTTCAATAATACCTCCATGATTAGACCATGATTGTTGAGGTAACAGTTTGCCATCCCAATTCACCGTATAATGCCTCTTTGGCAACACTACTTGGGGCTTTAAGTATAATCCTTGTCATTTGGTATTGCATGTTTTCAATTTTTTCTTGCTATGTTTTTCCATTGCAAAACCAAACTGAGCTTGCATAATTGATAGTCGGCAATCCAATAGTTTTCCATAGCAAGTCCCCGTAAAAGACTCTGTTAAAGTCTTCTTGTTCAGTTAGTATTGACTTAATATATGCAATAATACGGTTGCCTTTTTTAATAACTTCATTTATGTATTGTGTATCAGATAATGATCGAGAAATGTATACTCCGAGATATTTATAAGTTTCACTTTCAGAAATATAAAAATGAAGATAACTTTCATTGTCCAATATTACACCGGATATTTGTTTTCTCTTGACAATATGAAACACATAAAGTACATACGATATTAAAAAATAAAAACACAGTTAAATTTGGAAGAATTAGATAATACATTTTTTAGTAGGTTTCTACTAGATATTACCGACGGAGTATCCGTAAACTGGCAATATGAAAACTCAGAACACCTTTACCTTGCGCTAATGCTTTGAGTAGGAATAGGCCAATGGGCCTAGGCTACCTACAGAAGTATGTATCATGTATAATGATGCCTAATAGGCCCAGTTTTTTACGTTGCTATCAATCATTAATCATGGATGCCTAAACAGCAGGTAGCATTACAGAATGTCTTAATTGCTATCGTATTTGGTTTCCAAGTACAGGCCTATAGACGCAAATGCTATTTCATTGTGGGTCGAAATGCTGTCTATTTACCAGCAATATGGTATTTGTGAAATTGAAATAGTTATTTAGCCTAAATTGCTTACCATTTACGCGGAACTTCAATCGAAAACAACAGTTGAAATTTGTAATTTTAACGTATCGATGCTGTAAAGGATCAGATGCCCGGGTTCCTCGATTGCCATGTTGTAAAAAGGAGGTGGGGGGGGGGGTGAGGGGCAGACACCTTTGTATAATAAACCGGTGAATGAGATTACTATTTTCCACAAATATTATTAAATAGTCTTTTAGTCGCTTTTATTATGCCTATGTGTTGCCTACTAAACGTATATTGTATATTGTTCCAATAATCTACTTTAAAATTGTCATGACTTCAGATTTTTTTAAATTATTATAATATATATATATATACATATATATATATACAAATATATATATACATATTAACTTCGT